CTTGTATTTACTGCTAATTAGAAAAAACTAAGATGGTGAACGTGTATACTTTCTAAATATCTGAATGTTAACAATGTATGTTAGCAATGGCATGTTGCCATAGCAATGTTGCTGTGCTTTTTTATATGCTAGAAGACATGTCATGAGCAAAACAAGCAGTCGTAACTGAGCATTTTCACCTTGAAACCGTGCTAATGAAAACAAAACATGAATTCAGACCTCAAGGTTTCATATGTAACAAATCTAAGGAACCAATTCTGTCAGCTTGCAGGGCAGAGCTTCCTGTATCAACAGTCTTCTTTACGGTTGGGTTCCATTTGAACATACATGGCTGACTGATGCGATATTCCAGATTGAGGAGTAGTTTTACAGCGTTTGAGGAGAGTTGTAGGCGAGCTGGTGTGCTCGAGCTGCAGCAACTGGGGAGGGGTGGGCGGAGAGAGCAGCAGGGGAAACAGCGTAAAGCCACATCGAAACCATTATAAGGGAGAAACTGATTATTTTTATGGGAAAATAAACACATAAATATATGACTTTAATACATCAAGTGGAGTTTTTAGGGGTCAGATCAATGAGTAGAGATGAACTTTCTTCCACATATACAAGAATCTGTGCAATACCAGTGTTTCATATACCAGTATTTCTACTCATGGAAGAATCTGAGCCAGTGTATAGATATGTGCAATATTGTTTTTGTCCACATTCATACGAATCTGTGCAATACGGGTTTCCATATGTGGTAGAATCTGTGCAATATTAACAGTATTCACGTCTGTTTCTTGTTATTTTTAATTTCTACTGATGTCCCCACATTGTTGCACTACTTCTCTCATCTCATCTCATCTCATCTCATCTCATCTCACATAAATATTCAATTCAAAGCATCATTATGTTTCAGTGCAACCTCACAGAGCAGCTATTAAATGTCTCCTTTTAGCATCCATACATGATAAAAGTTTAGCTGCTGTAACTAACATCCAACGCCCACAGATATAAGAGCAGGGCATTAGAAGTAAGCAGACATTAAATGTGATATTTATGCACATAGCAATACACCGATGTCCCGTGTGTAGCAGGTCGAGCAGAGCATTTGTGTTACTAAAGTGCTTTTATATGAACATGTGATCTTCCTTCCATGTCACGCAGCGTCTCGCATCGCCGTCCACTCTTTGCACAGACCAGCAGCTGAGAAGTTCTTGTGGTTATTTGTGTGCATTCTCTGTCTCCGTCGGATTATGTCTTCATGCGTGCCCTCAGTCAGCGGACGCAGCAGGGCGTGTCACACCACTGCATGCTTCTTACATTAACACGCAAACTTTAAAAAAATATATATGCCACGGTTCCATTTTGGGACGTATTATAATCACATTTTTTGTTTTTATTACACTGAGAGACTTGAAACTGTTGAACTGCAGCTCTCTGGTTTAGTATCAGATGCTGTGTGAAGGAGGCCTGTGAATAATGAGGAAGTATCTGGGTGTAACATTCGAGGATTCAAACACTCAGACAGACATTATAAAATGTTCCAGATGGAGATGTGCGAAGACTATTGAGAGGAAACCGATCTTCCCACCAGGGCCGCAAGTCTGCCCGTCTGATTAGGCCCCATTTGTTTCCAAACTACACTGCTGATTAAAGCAGCTCCACTCTGAACTATTTCTGACATTCGAGGGAATCCTTGTGAGGTTTAAGAAACGAAGGCCGGGACGCTGAGGGGGGATGCAGCACACACTTGTATTTTGTTGGTGTGGTCTCAGACCTTCCCAAATTATCCCCTCACAATTCTTTTACTACCCAGATAATGATTCATTACAGTTGCAACGCTGCACACAGTGGTTTAACAACTTTTGATTCCAGTAAAGCTCGGCATGCAAGGCTTCCCAATAAACAAACATACTGTAATTAGGCTACTTTAAACCTAAAAGTTGGACTTTTTCACATGGTGCTCTTTAAATTCTTGATTTTCAATCAAAAGGTAATACACAGAGCGCCTCAAATTACTTAAAGTACCACTAAAATGTGCTTTGCTCTGTTGTTGCTTCACCTTGGATGTCTGAGTCTCACTGTGCAGAATGATTCTAAGAGACTGTTTTCACATTCGTCTGCTGGAGATGGAAAGTTTCTCACGTTAAATCTGAGTTTAAGATGTGTCCATACAAGCATGACTGTGGAACATTACAGACAGATCAGAAACAGGGGTGTCCTGATAGGCTGATACTGACAATAACTGTGATATCATCTCTCTCTGGTTGTTGTTTAAACCCTTAAAAACACAAAAGTTTCTCCACAGTCATTGATTGAGCCCCTAAAAACTCAGCTCAGTGCATCAAACTGCATATTTAGAAGTTTGTTTTCATCAAAATAGTCTGTTTCTGTCTTACAATGACTTAGATGTATCTCTAAACTGTTGCCTCCTCTAGAAAATGTGGATTGTTGAAGTCCCTGTCTGTCTGTTCTCCTCCTCACTGCAGCTCGAGCACACCAGCTCACTTATTATACACTACACAATGAAGAAGAACACTGTTACAAAGCTTAACCCTGTGAGTTTACAGGATTAGTTCTTTAGGTTTGTTATGTATGAACTCCGGGAGTCTTAATTTGTGTTTTTTGAGACAGCCATCAGTACACTGCTGAAGAAACCCTATATGGACATGTTACTGAGCTATAAACAAAAACAAAAACACCCACTTGATTTTTGCCATTGCAGATGCTTAAAAATGAAATATTGCTATTATATTAATAATACAAAGTATTATATTTTGAGTATTGCTCGTGGAGCACTCCTTTAAACACTGTACAGACTGAAAATCTTAGAAACTATTTGGTGTATGGGGATAATAATAATAATAATAATACATTTTATTTATAGAGCGCTTTTCACAAACTCAAAGACGCTTTACATGTTAAAATAAAAACAGAACAAATAGAAAAAGCAAATACAAGTATACAGAATAAGTCAAAACTAAAGAAAACAGAACAAACAGTTGGAAAAGCAAAAGAAAATAAATAAAAAGAAATACATACATACATAGTTAATGTGTGGATACAGTGTTGTACAGACATCCACTGTTCTCTGATGATGTCTTCTAAGAACTTCAGTGATGTGCTGCCATTTTCTGTAGCCACATCCAAAGGCTGACATCTGAGGTCTTAAATGTCCCACATGGTGAAAATGTATTTTTATAGTGTTTTGTGGTTGTTATAATCTCGGAGGTGTAAAATAAAAGCTGTTAAGGTATGAAGACGTTTACTTCTGACCACAACTATCTCGCCTTCCAGCTTTAAAAGAGAGTAAGAATTCAACTCAGGCACTAACTAACCAACAGATGCTAAGCTCAAACTGTAGCTTTGTTCCAAATCGTTTCCTTTTTACTTTAAGTACTACAGCTGCCCTCACAAAGTACACACTGTTTCATTACCACTGATCTGTGCAGTATTGTTACGTCCACATCCAAAGGAATTTGGACAATCTGAATTTCCACATATGGAAGAAGAAGAACGGGTATAGTTTTTAGTTTTGCTTTACTGATATTTCCTAAGTGTTTGCACTGTTTCCCCTTCTCTGCTGTAACAATGCANTCATTACCACTGATCTGTGCAGTATTGTTACGTCCACATCCAAAGGAATTTGGACAATCTGAATTTCCACATATGGAAGAAGAAGAACGTGTATAGTTTTTAGTTTTGCTTTACTGATATTTCCTAAATGTTTGCACTGTTTCCCCTTTGCTGTTGTAACAATGCATATTACCCCACTGTGGAATGAATAAAGCTCATCAAATCAGATTGTACAATTGGGAGATAATACTTCCTCATAATAATGCACCGTATACTTTGAGCTTTCATACTTGTGTGCGACTACGTATGTGATGGATTGTGGATCAGTGATTGGTCAGAAGAGCATGCCAGCTTGCGTACTGCAAAATCTAACCAAATGTCATATTACATCCTGGTATTTTTGGCACACTATATTTCACATACCATATATTAGGACACACTATTTTTCTGGCATACTATATTGCATGCAATCAGAATCAGAATCAGCTTTAATGACCAAGTACGTACACAACATACAAGGAATTTGGTTCCGGCTGTTGGTGTCGCCCTAGGAATTTACACGAATAATAGAAATAGGAAAAATTAAAAAATAAAATAAAGTAAAAATAACTAAAGAAAGAAAAGAATAAAATACAATAAATATTAATAAAAAATAAAACAAGATAATAAGACAAATATATACAAGAATTTACACATCTAGTAGAAAAAGGTATGAATATCTCAATGCTTTTTGGCTGTTCTGGGTTTCAATTCCAGTTGTAGCACTGTTTTTACAGTGTGAAGCGTGTTTTTTTAAATAAAATCTATCATTATTATTATTATTATGAATATTTTATTGGAATGCAGCTTCAGGCAGTGTTTTCTTCCTGAAGGGGGCGAGAACAGCAGCAGCTCATTGGTTTTCAGAGCAGAACAGTCCATTTCATGGTGAAATTAAACATTTTTGCAGTATTCTAACCTACAAAACTGAAATACACACCATGGGGACAAGTGAGACTTTGATTAATTTGTTGAAAAGAGGCGCGATGTGGGACCTTTAATCTCTCAAGTGCATAAAATAAACTCTGGTTCTATTATTGTATGAAGCTAAAGGTGCAACAGCCTTTTCCCTTCAGCTCAAAGAAACCTTCAGCACACTGTGTTTACATCTTGCAGGGAAAACCCAAGGCAGCCCTTAATGCAATATCCTGAGCGGCTCCTGCGCACAAGGAGGAGGAGGTGGAGGTGGTGGTGGTGAGGGGGGGAAGGCCTGACTCCTGGAGAAATTTGATCCCACATTCGGCCCTTTAAAGGAAAATGGGATGAGTCTGTTGAATGGAGCCGTGAGTGAGTTTCACTGAAGTCTGCGCTCAAAAGGGAAGCGAAGGACAGCAGCAGCAGCAGCGGCAGGCGGCGGGGGACGGGCCATGAAAACACACGACAAGAAATGAATGAGCGAGGACAAGTGAAAGTCGAAGCGGTGAAGGAGAAGTTATGATCGCCAAGAATTACCGGGGAAGGTGTCCGTGAGCGGAGAAACACCGACCGGGGGAGGAAGGAGGAGGGAGAGGGGGGTGAAAGAGACACAACAAAGTCACAAGGTAAAGTAGCTCCGGACTGGAACCGAACTGGCTGCGATTGATCTCTTCTGATTTCTATCTGGCTGCGCGCAGCTTCTCGTTGTGGTTTAACTGGACGTGGCCGCAGGATAAATTTATCTCAGGAGGCTGTTTGGGGACAAAAGACGCCGGTGCTGCTGTGTATTTTGAGAGATGCCTGCCTGAACTTCTATTTTTTTATTTTTTTTTCGCTGACCGACGGTTGCTGCTATTCTGCTAAGCGGTGCGCACACCTGTTGCTTGTGGCCTTTTTTGTGCCAAAGTCTTTGCCATTGCGCACCCACTAACAACATTTATCATAGCAAAATGAAACGTGCATGTGGAATAAGATGGAAAAAAACACAAGCTGCATTGCATTTGCATGGCTTTAAAGCAACATTTAGTGTGCGTAATTGTCTTTTTTTTTTTTGCATGACATCTCCAATCTGACTTCCTCAGCAGCTGTGATTTAACACTTTCTCACGCTGATATATGGACTCACGCACACTGTATAGTTAAGGGTGTCTCTTGCTATAACTCATGCCCTTCTCTCCAATGCCCTGCAGTGCAACTGGAGGCTGAAAACTGCGCGCACAGGACAGGAGGGCTGCAGAGGTAGATGTTTACACCTCAGTGCAGAGGAATGTCGGGGCCTGTGTTTAAAGCTGAGACTGATAATGAGTGTGGTCAGTTTGCAGAGGCCTGTCATTAACCTGCTGCAGGTTTGGCAAGAAAGGTTAGAGGAGGAGAGGATGTGGAGGGAAGAAGGAGGAGGAAGAGGAGGAGGGTGGGAAAGGTGCTGCAGGAGGAGAGGGAAGAAGTGTGGGATGATGGAAAGTGAGTGAAAGAAGAGGAGGGAGACAGATAAGGAGACAAATGGGGGAGGAGAATGAAGAGATGGTATATTCCTGATTTTGCTCAGAAGACTTCTTTTGGCCTCTGCAGTGTTTTAAATGTCTAATCTGAGTAACGGCTCGGTTAAAATGACCCTTTGAGTGTGAATTATTGCAGGATAACTACAAAAGCTGGGACGAGTGCTGTTATTTATGTTTTTAAAACGTTCTCCTTTTGCGCCCGGCGACTTAAACCTCTCCGAGTGGGGGTCACAGGTTAAGAAATGTGAAGCTGCGCTGGAGATTTCCCCCTTTATTTGCGGGAGTGTGTCCCAGCTGTAGCCATAAAATGGGACCAAAATAGTGAGGCCCTAATTTAAACAAAAGTGTGAGGCCTACTTGACCGGATGGGAGTCGACAGAGGTCCCCCCTCTTTGTTAAACACATGAGGCCGCGGAGGAGGAGGAGATAAGGCAATACTTAACACACCCACACTTGACTCCTCGTGCACTCGGATAATTTGTCCGTGTCACCTTTTCTCGAGATCTGCCACGCTGACACGGATCGGCAGCGGCTGACCCAGATTTACGCGCGAGGCTCCCGTGCTGTCTGATGGGAGTCTTTTTCAATCTGAGGGGGGAGGAGATGCCAAAATGTAGGGGAAGCCAAGTTGGACCTCAGCAGAGAGACAACAACAGTGGGGATTTGAAAATGTCTGGTGGGGATGATATCACTGAACCACCTAATCACTTACATCACCACAGCTGCACGCTCAGCAGTGTGTCAGTGTGTGTGTGTGCACGTGTCTGTTTCCAATCTCTGTGCATCTCCATCTGCGTCTGTCTGTGTCTCTGGTAAGCAAGCACCGAAGAGTTACGACTGTGTGTGTTTGAATACGCGGTGATGAAGGAGGTTCTAGTCAGAGGAAGGACTGACTGGAGACTTGGACACGTCCTCTCCTCGTCCACACACCGCTCGGCCTTTTTCTGCCGGACGGTGCGCTCAGAAACCCTGAAAGGAACATCACACGCTGTCCCATCCAAACTGTTTTACTACAATCTGTGATAGCTTTCAGGCTTTGAATAAAAGCTCTCCTTGCTGGGTATAAAATCTCACTCAGCTTGAGGAGCAATGCTGTATAACTGTCAGTGGAAAGCAGCCGTCTGCAGTGGCAGCCGTAGAAACGATCCTGCTGGGATCGTTGCGGTGTCGTTTCCATTCAGTCGTCTTTCCCAGTGTTTGCTCTGGCCGGGGCCTGTGTGCAAACTCTTGCAGCTAGATGGAAGTAGAGAAGCTCCCAGGGACCTTGTGTCTGTCTGCAGCCAGGAGAGGACTCACCATTCTGGGCTATGATTCTCCCAGGCACCTCCCCGCCCGTCCGCTCTGGGTGGCCCAAGTGTTACCAAACATGGATCTACCGTGCAGATCCTTGAAAGCTTGTTTTTGTTGTCTTGGCTTTTTTTTTTCTTCTTCTTCCCTCACCACCTGAATGTTTCCAGCACTGGCACACACTAGAAGAGATACAGCAGGAGAGAGCGGTGTTTATCTGATCATATATAACAGTGGAAGGCTGCATTTATTTTACTCATCCCACAATGGAGGGTTATACTCAAGCTAAAGGAGAAAATGGCTGCAGTTTAATTTGCATTGGTCCGTATTACTCCCACACACACTGTTAAAGTGATCTCATTCTTGACAGGCGGGTGTTGTGGGGTTGATTTTATCCTTGTGCACCCAGAGGCAGAGAGGAGTTGTGACCTTCTGTAACCTTTGGTTGCCTTCCTCCCTCGGTCTGCTCAGTAGAAAGTTTAACTTTACACTTGCTGATTAATCAATTGGGTTCCTGGCACAGTTTACCATGAACCGTAACAACCCTCCTGAGTCCAACAAGCAAGGAGAGCTAAAGAAATTGGAGTGCTGAGTGTGTTTAACCAGCAAATGGTGTGTTTACACCCAGCTGCTGCAGCTCCTGCAGGAGGGCCCGGCCTCGTCTGTCCTGACTTGCTGCAGTGTGACCCAGACGGGCTTTTTTTTTTTTTTTTTTCTCAAGCTGCCTGATCCCACCGCTTCCCCACACTGGCGTCCGGGTTTACTTGACCTTCATACCCCCGAGTTTGCCCCAGAGAGAGAGGGAGATGTTGGTAGATGGACCTTGGCTGTCCAGCCTGGGTACAGCGGTTGGCTGGCGAAACCTCCACATGCATGACTTCTGTAATTTGTTTGCTAGGCCTGTATTTATGAGCATGCTAATTGTAGGGAGCGCCATGGTGCAGTTATAGTTGCTGGACTTTGAACGTCTGCTGTTCTGCTGACGGTGTCTGGCTGCACTCTGAGTCTGTCGGTCTTTCTGTCTGAACACTAAGCGTTTCTAACTTCCTCGAACCTCATTTGGTTTCATTTTGATTTGCAAGCGTTCTCTAAAAATTGCTCACATCTCACCATCACCGCTGGGCTTCTGCGAGTTACAAGGTCAAAGCTGTCCTGTTGTTACGGCTGCTTTTATCTCGACATAATTACACTTTTATCAAGTTCACACAGTGGGAACGTTAACCTTTGTGAATGAGGATCCTGCCAGAGAAAAATAGACACTAGTCGTTCCTCCTCAGGTAAAAATAACTCCAGCGCCCCAGTTTCCCACATTCAGCGCTGGGCCCATTCATTGTCACACATTCTTTCCTCCTTTCTTTTGCCGAGGCGAGCTGACGGCCCCCCCTCTGGAGCCGTGATGGGACTGTCATGCAGAAAGACACTATTGTGCCGTGCAGGATCCCGTTTCGCTCCTTCCTTGTAATTAAGAAGGGATTGCGTGGGGAAGGTGGGGGGAGAGAGAGAGCAGGGGATTGGGTTAGTAGGTAATTTGGCTAAAAAGCAGAGCGCTGACCTGCTTTGTGGCTGGCAGGCCTGGGAGCCGGCACGCATGAACCAGCTCCCCCACCGACACACAGCCTCCCTGCTGGGGTTTTGTTCAGTGTGTGTGGGCATGTGGAGAGACGACTAGCAAAGAAAGGCTGAGGTGATCCCCTTTAAGACCTGCGTTTGTTTCTGTTTACCGAGCGTGTTTCTTCTTTGGTTTTGCGTCACCAAGCACCACAGAAAGTGAGAGGAAACTTTCATTAAACCTGTGTCACCGTGCACTCATCATTAGTGTTTGCGTTACTCACGTTTCTTCAGTGAATCATAGGAAGTGTGGTTAGAAAAGAGCATTTTTAGAGCTTAAATTGCCTTTTTCTCATTTTTGGCTGTAAATGAAAACAGAACTGCTGAAGGAAATGCCATCATAGAATTTATTTGTTCCTCCTGTTCGGGGTAATACGTGTCATTTGCCTTCTTTTCAAGTTAATGCACCACATTCTTACCAGCTGCCTCAAACCATACGGACAGGAAGTCACAGGCAGATTTGTGTTTTCTGTCTTTCAGTCCAGTTCGAGTCCCGAGTCCTCGCCATGGCCGACGTGTTGGAGAGCAGCGGTGCCGGAGCCGTCGGGGCGGCCAGCGTGGACTGGCAGAAACGCTGCGTCGCTCTTGAGATGCAGCTGCTCAGGTTCCGGCTACAGGCGGGCAAAATCCGAGAGCTGCTGGCGGAGAAGGTGAGAGAGAAAAGCATCATGGGTAGTATGACGAGACGAGGTTGCACACGGAAGCTGCAATTTAAGATTTTGGACGTCATTATTGTGATTTTGCATCATCTGTTACAGGTGTAGAGTCGCACAGTGATGGAGCTTAACTTACATACCGTGAACACAAATGTTTTCATTCCATTGTGTAAGAGGCAATAAATAGTGCATAGATTCACACTCAGGATTTGTATACTTATCTAAAATGAAAGTGGGTAAATGGCTGCCTTGATTTTCTACAAGTTCAAGCTTAAGTTTTTGCCGAGTAGAGATGTGCACATCAGGTTGCTCCACACAAACTACTTCTTGTGCACAGTAGAATATGTGTTCCACTGTATTCTAAACTTCATACAACCAAAATCTGAAACACACGTGGAGGATCCTGGGGGGATTCCTGAACATACCCGAACCAGATGGGAAATGTTTGATGGGAACAATTTTCTGAGCTTCTTAAAAATCTGAAGCCAGGCACCCTGAAAAAAAAAGAAGAGATTTATTTAACCCTCCGAACTCCAAAACCCGCTGGCGGGTTAGAAAAGCATGTAATGTTTTTTAAAATTGCATCATTTATCACAGAGAGAAACTATAAAAACAGAAGGAATTGTCAGATTTTCAACTTTCAGACAGTTCAGGAGCTACTCCATCTGTTATGTGTCACTTCAATGGAAAAACTGTAAAAATCTGCCTTTAAAATCATGATATTTCTCTGAAATCCTTTAATTCTACGACGCTCGTTTAAAAAATTCTGCAGAAATACAGCTTTTGTGCAAACATGAGTTGTTAAAAACAAAAAAATGCAGCTGGAAGCCATGAGTGACTTCCCTCCAAACAACAGTCATGTGACAAAAACTCTTCTTCATGGCTTTACTGCAGGCTGTGTTTACACGGAGCAGATGGGGGATAAATATGGAAACAAATTAAAAGTATAAGTAGTAAAATATCAATATGATGTAGAGCCACCATTATTTCTAGTATAAGTGACACCTGTGGAGACTTTTGATTGCAAGTTTTTTTAGTTTCATCAAAGAAATTCAATTTGAACTTTTTTAGTATTTCTAGTATTGTAGTTTTGTTTACGTGCACAAGGTATGTTTTTGAGTTGCCACCATGGCTGTGTTGTTTCCATAGAAGTGCAAGAGTTTGTGTTACAGAGTAAAACGAGCCTACAGTGAGTAAAGATGTCAAACTGCTCGGGGTTCACAGGGTTAAGAGCTCGTCCTCTGCTGAAACTTTTGCCTGCAGCTGAGAGTCAGAACAAACACTGACCAGTTTTTTTGTTGCCATAGTCTAACCGTAACTGTTACACTTAAAACGCCAACGAGCAATTTGTGAAAGAGAAATTGGCAGCTCTGCCATAAAGCTAAATAATGGGTTTTCGGCTTCAGAGCCATTTTAGTGACTAAGGTTTAACAAAACGTACACAAGCATAAGAGTCAACTGGATTTGACTTTTGCCCGTTTTGTTTGGCTCGAGCTGCTGGATGCATCACATGTTTGAAACGATGATTTGATTTGGCCACGATCTGACACAAATAGTTGAGTGCGATCTGGATCTGTGGCCGTTTGAACAATAGCACTACTGTGGGAGTTTAAACTTGTCACGCCACTTTCATCTCTAAAATAAGACGTGCTGTTGGATATTTCGAACAGACACTGCGCAGATCCCGCCGCCTCATTGTCGTACTCTTTTGATGCGGCAGTGTTTTGTGCACGTGGAAGCAATTAAAGCATGCGGATCAGCTAGAAATACAGGTGTGGATGACTGTGTGTTTATGTGTGCGAGCAGAGACAGATGAGATTACTCAGCTTATTTGGTAAACACTCGGCCCTGCTCATCGTGTGTCATCAGAAGTTGGCTACAGTTTCAGCCAAAAGGAATATTTAACATTTAACTCATCACTTCTGGTGCTTCCCTTCAAGTTGGGGGGAAAGAACCGCCAGCCGCCGGCCAAATGCTTGTAAAACTGTGGCTCTTGTAAAGCCTGACTACCAGACACTTTGGAAAGTAATCAGCTGTCATCGGGAGATTCAGTTCAGCTCTGAAGATTTGTTGGTAGAGGAGTGGAAGTGTTTGGATTGGAGGAACAAGTGAGTTTAGTAGCAGGAATCTGTTTTCCCGTCTTTACTTTTTTTTTTTGCTGTTTTCGGCTGATTTACAAGGGGTAGTATTTTAGGTCCAGATAACTCAGAGCTGCTTTTGTTTGTCACAGTGGTTCGCTCTCTGTATCATCTGTGATTCCTGAGCGAGAGAGTTTTCATTCAGTCCGTCAGCAGGATGTTTACGGTCAAAACATAACCCCGTGGCTGATAAGAGCAGGACGACTGCCTGCTGTGTCCTCCGTCAGGTTCTGTCAGACCACCAGCTCCTCTTTCAGCCTGCACACAGACTAGCATTTAGAAAGTCATTAATAAAGGGTCTGCCCACTACAATAATCTCAGAGGAGGATAAACACAACCTGGCAGCCTCCATCAGATGATTGTAGTCGCCACCAAACTAACAAGCGTGCAGCCAACATCTTGTGTATCTCTTTGTTGTGGACCTCCGCTGTTGTTCAGCGACTATTAAAAACTCTTCAAACCAATGATCCAGAACATTACAATGGATGCCACGTTTCTTTGTTATCAGAAATATGTAGCCGCATTCCAGATCCCTGATTTGTTCAGCAAATCAAATAAATAGGTCTGGTGTTGGGCTCACCACGGGTTGAGGACACAAGTGGTGAATCAGATGTTTGCAGGCAAGATTAAGAGTAAAAATTCATGTAAAATAATGACAAATTGGTGCAAAAAACCCTGCCAAATAGCAGCTGGGACTGAAAAAAAACAAGAAAGTCCTTTTGATCTTGAGGAAAAACGCTGAAAATTGCACATTTGTTTGACCTCTGTGGACAATATTTAGTTAACTGCTCTTGTTGGGTAGGAGCTGCTACGTAGATGCATTATTGATTGATCAGTGTAAATCTGTAGATGACTTCAGACTGGACAGGAACATAAGGTGGCACTTAAGTCTGAAAACCCTTTTCAGAGATACGACCTGTAATACTGTCATCATCCATAGTCTGTTAAAGTGGCTTTGTTCAGACAGTGGTCACTGTTATGTGTAAAATATTTTCCATGCACATGATTGGTTTGTATATTCAGATTCAAACAAAGAGCTAAACCTGAAAGGAAGCTTATTAACATGGATTAGGGTATCTGAAAGCCAGTCACACTGACTTCTTGTCTTCTTTTTAGACAGGTGAGCTGTCTTAGAGAGCCCACAATGTGCTCATTTACAGGTTTGTGGTTTTATTTTTGGGGTCCACTAGAATTTTCTTACATGGCCACATGCTACCCACATATTTTTCAGATACTGTGCATTGCTAAAGCACTTCTTCTCACCATCTGCCTGAAACACTCCAATTTAGCTCCTGTCTCACTAAGGCCACCTCCTGAAGATCCCAATCTGATCTGACTGGGCCCTTGAAAGCAAGACAACATTGGTTAGATACTGTAACCCCAAATCTCTGTGCAGAGAGGCAAGATGACACAACTCTAAAATAAGCGGCTCTAACGAGGACACAATGGTAGATTGCAAGGCAGCTGCTCATGCTTTGGTTGAGGGAGTGACAAAGTAGCTTCCAGGCAGGAGTTATGCAAATGTGTTGCATGATGACGTAAATAAGTAACAGAAGAGAAGCCCGGACTGCAAACAAGGCGTTTTAGGACAATGAGGAGCACTGTGGAAGATGAGCTCCCTTTGGCGTAAACTCCAAAAGTTTGCAGAGCTTTACATGCACAAAACAAACTATAACACGCTAAAGGAAAGGAAAAACCCAAACAGCATAACGAGGGCTCTTTAAGCTGCTTCTCAGACGGAGTCCTTCGCACCATCACAATTGTCAGGATATTATTTTAGGCTACTGCAAAAGTCGATGTGTTTGCTAAAGCCAAAATATGTTTAAGTATTTTGTGTGTGTCTGTGATTTTTCCTGTTTTAAAGTCCCTCAGCAGGATATAGCCCAATTATTGTGTTCATGGATGTGTTCCTATATTTATATATTGAGCATGACCTCATTAACCATTAAAGTAACGACTAAACCATGTTTCTTGTAAAATGTCTGTCCGATAATGCGACTGCATGCAGCTCAGATTTGTGCCGTGCTGAAAGTGATATGTAAGCGCTACTAGGTCCAACTTTCTAAGACCGCCACTGTGACTTTTAAAGAAAAATGACCAGCGTGCTCATTCAGACAGGAAGCTGGCACCTTCACATGCTGTCACTGCAACAGAAAATAGTGCATGTCTAAAATAATCCTTATTCTCAAGCTAATGGATATGTCTTACACACTTGTTGGACCAAACATCAGTCCACAGCTGGAAGTAGAATCCAAAAAAAAGTACTTATTTTTTCCATTTTTGTGTAACTGTTACTGAAAGCTAAAGCGCCCAGCTTACTTTCTGAAAGATTTACATCTTCATTAGGACAAAATGTTCTGGAGACTGACAGGGATTGGAAGTCAGGCGGGTTGATTATTAACGCATTGTTGATTTTTGATTTCATGGTATTTTTTTTGACGCAAGAGGAATATAGAATAGTGCCAGCCTTTTCCCTTAACTGCTTCTAAAGCCATTAGTCACAACATGCTTTCCCTTATTAAAGATCGCTGTGTGTATGCACACACTTGTGCAAACAACCACCGTTTGTGTACAGTTACTGTCTCATTTAGTAAATTTTCATTTCAGCCATGATGCCAAGAATACAAAGGGGAGTTTAAACTTTTCAAAAACTCTTCTTTTCTTTCTGTGTCTTATAAAAAGACACATTTGTTGTTAAATGTTCTTTTTGGCCGTGTTGCCAAAAGCATTAGTGTTCTGTGAAAAGGCCGATTAATCTCTTGCTTTTTCTTTCACTCCTCTCATTTACACACACACACATACTGTACAGTCTGACACACACAAACACGCAGAGTTTTTAAGTGGAGGCCCGTGCTG